TCTCCTCTCCTCTCCTCTCCTCCAGGATGGGATGATGGATGCTTTAGGAGCCTCTATCCCTCTTACTGTCTCATGGCTCTACCATCATCCTCCTTTTGGCAAAACAGAAAGCAGGTGGTTTCCTCCACCCCTCTATAGTTTCTTTATTTGCTTTGAGTAGGGCAAATAAAGTCCATTAGTGAGGGACCGGAGCATACATAATTTGTCAGTTTTGTTGGCAATAGAAAACTCATTTGGGGTGAACAAAAATACTGCTGAGATTTGCCTGAGTTCACTGAATTTGATCAGAAAACAAGTGTGTTCTAAGAACTGAATCCCAAACTTCCCACAAACAGCAGTATCCTTTGCTTTGGAGGAGAAACAGTTCATCTGAAGCGTTCTGGTTCTTGGCCTTGAAAGGATGTTTCACCTATAAATAAATTTCCAGTTATTTGAAACAATGATTGAAGTTTCAAGAAGTAGCTCACTTTGCTTGATCCAGAATTCTCTACTGAAAAGTTCTTAAAAATATGTTCAGAACATTCAGCTGGAAATTTTGAAGTTATGTTAATAGACTCAAAAATAATGTGCTAGTTATTTTGTGCATTATTTTTCCAGTATGTAACAGGTATTCCCTCACCTCTGCTCTGAGGGGGGCCTAGCATGAAAATTTATTTGAAAAACTTAGGATTTTTCTACAGCACATAGTTCTGTGTATACTATTGATGGGGAACTGCTGCCTCTCCGATATTTTTCATGGAAACTTTATCTTCTACAGTCAAAGTAGCCACAGATGCTTTGTTAGAAGGAGGTTAGTGAAGCAACTTGAGATATAATGAGCAGTGGGTGCCTAACATGTGAAAATTCACATGGCTGTGAACTGGCATTGGCTTTAAACCCACTTGTGTAAGTTTAAAGTTCTTGTGAAGATTTTTTTGAAGCCTCCTGAGTTCCAGTCATTGCTTCGATGATCGCTGCTGTCCCATTGAAATAAGGACTAAAGGAGTTTTCCAAATTATTCCCAAACTATTCCAAATTGACTTGGTCACATATAGAACTTTTCTTGAATGAAATAACTTGAACACAAAAACAGTGATAAAATAAATATGTATATATTTACACAAGACACACAATTTGTAGGTATTTGAGTTTTCTCAGCCTTTTTGAGCAGTTTGAGGAAAAAGTGAACGTTTAAATAACAAAAATCTCCACAAATGTTGTTCATAGGTATTTCTGTCACCTCTTCTGACCTGCGTACCGGCGAACCTTGGTTTGCTTGGGCTGTGTTTTGGGCAAAGTCCCTGCACAAAGGTTATTTATTTGCTGTAGCAGCTGTGGGCTTGGATAGAAGTCCAAAGTCCTGGTTTGCTGTGTTACACCTAGTGAGGTGTTAATTCAGCTGTTAATTCATGTTTGGATCTAATTAAGATCCACCACTCAACTTGTCAAAGACAAACAAGTTCTTTTAAGAAAACAAACAAACAAACAACAACAAAAAAAAACCCCAAGCAAACACAGAAATCCCATGGTATTCGTTTACCACTCTAGTCTCATGAGGGATTTTTCCTGAAAAACAGGGAGCCTGCTGGATCTGGGTAGCTTTTTTCACTGACTGGTATTGTGCCTTTTGTGCTTGTGCTTTTTGCATCAGAAAGGTCTGAGGAAAGATTTAGAAATATTTTCATTCCCCACAGTTTCACAAGCAAGGCATTATAGGGAAAACTGTCCTTCCTGGCATTGGTTTACTGCATCTCTAACATCTCAAAGGATGCCTGTGACCTGCCACTGCAGGCCACCTGGATTGCACTGGAAACGGCCTGTTTAATTGCAGGCTGGTTTTATAACAGATAGAAGATTCAGGTCCCATTCGCCCTGAATGCCACACGTCCATGTGCATCGAGCCCCGGCATCGGTTCAGTGCCAAAGCTGGTGCAAAGGCACTTTATGGCTGCTGAACAGCCTTCAGGATTTCAACTTTGGAGACTACCCTCACCATGCTAAGCGACTGGAGGAAGGGGATGTTACAAAGGATGCCAGCAAAAGAAAATCCAGTATGTTACACTCATGCAAGTTAATGATTCCCCCAGTGTCACACTCAGCATAAAACCCAGCACAATGGACAGTCGTGTCCATTCACAAACAGATTTTTCTCTTCCCTTTTGCAGGAATACTCACAGTCCCGCCTGCCTCAGGATCTTTGCTCCTTCAGGAGGAATCCGCCTCGTCACATAGATCCTGGGCACCTGCTGCCTGGCTGCCTCTGCTGCCTGAGAACTGCAGCAGGCATGAAACTCTGATGCCAGGACCGGCCTCAGCCATCTCAAATGCCTCAGAATTCCCATTGCAGTGAAGAGGCCCCCAGATGCCCAGAGACTTTGGACAGAAAGCTTATATGTCAACCCAGCAGCAAACAGCAGCTTGGCAGCTGGCTTCCCACCAGAACAAAGACCAATGAGCCTGGGCTTATTTGCATGGGATGACCCTCACCACAAACTATTTTTCCATCCTTCCTAATCCAAAAGTTCCTGTGCAGCAAGGTCTGTTGACCTCATTATTTGATTAATGGGATATTGCATTCATGCTAATTTTCACATGCAGAAAACAATCCATGAGCTAATTTCTGTAGCACAACTGATTAGGTTTTACTCCTCAGTGAGAAGCATTTTTTTTTCAGGCTCGCCTATATGTTTGGAGATAGTTGCCAGAGTGAATGGGAAGAGTTACTTCTTTGGGAAGTCATAAATACCAGGATTCTTGGGTTACACATTTTTAGGAGGCAGTATGTGAAAAAGGATTTATATAGAATTATATTGGTCTGGATTAACTCTTTCAGTCTCTAATGGGAATTAATATGGAAGTGGAAAATTGAATCCCATGCTATGGCTTGCAAGGGAGATTTTTTTTTTTTTTTGAAGTTGTGTGTAAAAAGCGTAGATTCCAATCTACACTTGTAGAAGTGTCTTGCTGGACTTTTTCTGGAAGAGTCTGCATGACAGTGGCTGAGTCACTACTTGGAGGCTGAGAACCTCCATTTGTCCTTGTTCAGGTGAGTGAATAGACTTAAGGTCTCTGGGAGGTTGCCTGAGTGAAGAAGTGCATGGCTTGGCCTTCCCTATGAAAGTGGCTCCTGCTTTGCTCTTTCTGTGGTTTGGTCTTGATCCAGTTGGTCAGATGTTGAATGTATAGGCAAGAGGGAGATGATACAGGTCAGCAGATTTTTTTTTTCCCCCTAAAAATGCAATTTTTAAAAGATATTCCTTTTTGTTTTTCATACCAAAAATGAAGAACTTCAATTAAAATCCAAATCCTTCAAGAGAGGAAAAATTACTTCTCAACTCTTATTTTTCGACAGCAGAAATCTAATATTGTGTTCTCTGTGCTTGCAGGTAGGTGGCCAAGCCTGCTCTGTGCTGCTGTCAGTGGAGTTACACTGTCAGATATGCTACAAAATCAGCACCACTTGTTTTTTTTCTCCCGTGGATGGTCCCTGCTCTTTCAAGAAATGAATGGTTTATACTGAATGGGAAAGGCCCAATGAGGAAGAGGAAAGCCAAGGCAATGGAAGGCTAGGCACAGCACAGAAGGAAAGAAGGAAACTTAGATATTGCTTGTGAAGTAGTAGAAGTCCAAGCAGAGAATGTTCTTCAGGGTGATGAGAGCTCCATCCCTCTTTTCTTAAGGAGAGTGTGCTAGCTGTAATACTTTGGGTCTGCTCAGTGTTGTTATTGCTGCTGGGGTGTCAAAGCTACCCCAGCAATATGTTTAGTGTGTCCATTAGTCCAATTAGGTGTTGAAGCTGCACGCCTTGGAGTGATGGATTGGATTTCCTTTCTCCAGAACTCCTGTCTCTGTCCACCCGTGGTGCCCTTTTCATAGAAAATAAAACAAACAAACAAAAGGTGTGGAATGAGTTCATTAGATGGGGCCTGAGGTTCCAAAGATTTATTCTGGAATTCTTCCTTGTGAGGGCTGCAGTGACAGCGATGGCCCTGGGATCCGTGTTCCTTCTCAGCCATTCACTGTCTCTTTACTGAGCTCAGTAAATGGTTTTCCACACCGGACAGTGCTACTAGATTTGTGTTATTGATTTGTTTTTCCAGAGATTTAATGACTCCTGTATGAAATTAGTCAGGGAGACATTAAAAATTTTTAAGAATTATTTTACACTGCTTTCAGAAATAAATCTTCGGCTACATTAAATTGGTTATAAAGTACGGAGAAATCAAAAATCCTGTTCTGCTTTATTCCTCATTTACAGGCAGTGTTTTTCACTTCTGATGACTGACTCATTCACCCAGTGACTTCTAGGACCTAACACGACTCTGGGAAAAGATGCAGGCTTAGTGCGGGTACCATCTTCACACTTCCAGGAAAGATGTTTTCCAGATGATTCCAGGGAAGAATTCTGCAGTCTGGAACCCTCTGTAAACTCGCCCACATTGTAATAGTTGAATGCTGCAGCTCAGAAATCCCCAAGAGAACACACGGGAAAGAATCTTTTAAATAGAAACAAAACAGATGAAAGATGCCTGTATCTTGGTGAAGTGCTGTTTGCTATATCAATGAAAACTAAAAAAAAAAAAAAAAAGAGCTTTCCTCTTTTTAATATATTTTTAATAACAATATAAGAGTGCTCAGGGTAACTGGAAGGACAAGATGGGCGAGGGATCACATATAGAAAAAGAAAACAAGCTGTGGTTAACAATGGAGCATTTAGAGAAAAAGAGAAAGGAGGCAGACAGATGGCACGAATATTAGTGCATGAAAATGACTAACACTCTGAGAATTTCCCAGTGTACTTCTGACTGGTTTTGGCTTGCTTCTATAATTAATTTATGGAAAGCACCTAAATTGGGAATAAACACAATCTCACAAATCCCTTCTAATCTCTGCCTCTATTTTCAAAATGATACCCTGAAGGTATACTTTCTTACAATGGTTAAACTGTTTTCTGTTTAAGAATTAAAAAGGAATTTTTTTTTTCTTTTTCTTACAACTGCACAAAGCATTAGTGGTCAGGACTGAATTCAGAACTGTTTTAGATGCAATCTATTGTTGTAAATGCCTGTATGGGGGTATTTACCCACTAGACTTCTGGATGCTAAATCTGCCAGTATTTTCATCTTGAATTCATGTATTCTGAAGCAAAACATGACCCAGGGTGCCCTCAGCTACCTATCAGCTCAGCATAGATTTGGAAACTTCATTTAAAAGGCTTTTTTTTTTTCATTACATTGTTCTTCTCTTTGAAATAAAAGCAAGCGTGTTCCTCAGGGTTTGCAGAACTTGCTCCCCCAGGTAGCTTGCTCAGAAAGCACTCGGGGCAGTTGTGCAGCAGGAACAACTGAGATCTTGAAAGCTTCTTGTTCTCTGGATAGACCCTAAGGTTGTGCCAAGCAGTTCAGTGCAACTTTGCACATTAGGAGAAGCCTGCAAAAATGTTAAGTCGGACTCTGTATGTGGCCACTGCTGGTACATCTGGCTCCTCTTGGTCCTCACAGGGAGTTATCTGATTCTTTTAGCTGACTGCATGCGAAGACGCTGCAGTCGCTGGCAGAGCCATATGCTTCCCTGTGGAATTATGAAGCACGGAGGGGGCAGATGATCACGGAAGCTCCCTGGGATGCTCTCCATTGACTCCGGTGGTCCGAAGATCCCCTGGGATAGCTATGCACAGCCTGCCGTCTGGTCCACAGGGAGATACGCTGCAGGTATGCTTAGTGAGAACGCTGAGGATGCATGAGAGAGAGATGCAGAGATAGATTCCATGCACGGGGCAGTAAAAAGGCTGGCAGGAAAGTACGGGGGAGCGGGTTTCAGGAGATGATAGCTTTGTGACTGTCTCATTCTCTCTGTTCCTTTGCACCAGTCACTTGGCACCCACAAAGAATGGATGCCCTCAGCAGGGTTAAAGAAGCTGGAGGGCAACCACTCTGTGCTAGAAGAGACCAACAAACAGAGAAACCAGAGAGTACTGGCATAATCTATTGCATGAACAGTTGCTGACAGTATCTCTGCTGCCCAGAGAAGCAGCAACAGCCACCAATTTCTTATTCCGATTTGCATGGCTGTGCTGAACCCTTTCCTTCCCCCCAGCATGCAGAAGCTTTGCTGCAGTGTTACACAGATGTTCTGTCGCTGCAGCCAGCTGCGGCACCTCATGCCAAAAGCTGCTGTTGTGTCTCTGATGTCAGCTGTAAGCTCTGTGTGTGCTGTTATGTCTACAGTCCATAGGTGATACCTTGGCCTAACGACGGAGGATGTGCCAGTGAAATTCACTGCTGTACCACGGGACTCAGGGCAGAGCCCACTAGTGAGATCATGGAAGCTCAGGGAAGGGAAATAGACCTCTTCTTACATGGCTCATCAAGTTTCAGTATGGAAATCTAGGTAAGAATTACCCAGGGCACAACCTGTCCCTTTGATTTAGCCTTTGCACTTCATGCACATTGTGCGCAGGAGAGACTGTTTTCCTTGTTCTCTCCAGCCACTGTAACGGCTCATGGGGAAATACCACATTTGTGAAAAATTCTCACCATCATAAACATGATGATAAGTCTAAGTAAAAGTGATCGATCTGCGGTGTTTGTGGGACATTTAGGCAGCATGTCTCAGGTGAATACTTCCTGTTTTGTTGGCTGTTTGCATGTAGTTCTTCCTAGAAATCAACATAGTACTTTAAGATGCTTTTTTCTGTTCTTGCAGAAGGAGTGGAAGACAGAATGAAATCACTGCCATCTTTGTTTTCATAATATTCCTGTAGTAATTAAAATGCTTTGGAAGGCATTCTGTTCCCACAAGTAATAATTTTGAATATATTGCCCATTAATTACACTATTAGTTAAATATGTATTTTTATAATGTGTATTCATTCACCTGCTTACTCTAACAATTAAATGAATATTTAAATATGTATTATACACATTACACGTATACACACTAAAGCATAGTAATTAGATTTTGTAGAAAGAGAGGACTCTTTCTGAGAAATCCCATTCCAGGGAATAAGTGAGTATGTATATGGTATTTTATTGACTCCAAGAAGCATCTATCTAATCTATTAGAGCTGTCGTGCTCCATAAGGCTGTATTTAGTGACTTTGTTTTGTAGAGCTCTGTGGTAACACTGGGGATTTCATAGTGTACTACAGCTACAAAGGCAGAGTTTCTGGGTTATCATATATTTCCCATGATCCATCTCCCTCAAGCTGTTTCACAGTGGGTATTTTGCCTTTTTTCACATTTAGAGACAAAAGCGGTCACAGACCAGGTGTCCAGGCTTTTAAACGATAGTTAGAGTTTAGGGGCATTTACCTGTGCTGTATTTGCAGAATACACAGAGA